AATTAAGTCAGAAAATGAAGTTTATCAACATAAGGCTATACCGTCGGCGGAAATAGCAAATTATTATTCTTAGCCTGCTGCAAAATAATTTAGTCATGTAAACAAATGTTACAGAGTTGCACCAACGATAAATGAATTGTTATTCCATTACAGCTTATTTAATATAAGTATAATATGGTTTTCGAACGATAATTTTGAGATTAATCGTTACCTATTTTCTTCCTAGTTATAGATTTTCGACGAAATACACAACGTCTTTTCAAGAACAAAATATGCTCTATAAAAAACAAATATTTTATGAGGTGAGTTATATCAATAGCTTAAAAACTATATGATCATCAATTCATATCCGATTGAGTGTTTAGTGTAAATTACTTTATAAACTACTTACATATCTTTTCCTTTTAATACTGCCTTCTTGTATGATGATGCCCATAAGCTATGAATCTCTTCAATTACGAATAGTTTATAAGGTTACCTATTAGAGGGAAATATTGACATATGTTAGCTCATAAAATGAAAGACAGACGATGAGGTCCGACTGCAAAATATCGAGCAGCCAGAGATCGGAGGCACGAAGTGACTGCTTTCCATAGGGAAAACTGGAATCCTTCAATGTGAGACAGGTAGCAGAGAGTAAGGAAAGGGTTAGTTCGGTTGCACTTTGAATGATTTATGATCGACCTGAAGAACGACCTCTCGCGTTGCATTCAATCGAACGAATGACGCAAAATGCAATGCACGGCATTTGGTTGTGGCATATTTGTGCCTAATGACGGTCCGAGATTTCTTCGGACCAGTGTGGTCCGGCGAAAGCGTGAAGACGGGTTCTTTTATGGCCACATCATAAAGCACCCGCATCAGCAGCTCCGGTTTCCAAATATTTTGATTTGGACAAAGGCCGAACCGAAACCACAGAAAACACGCAGCTGGACATCGAATTTGGGAACAAGGATTCCAGAAATGCCAAAATGCAAATGGAAGGGAAAAGGTTTCTGCTGCCTTGACTGAGAAGGTTATGCAAGAAGCACACATACATCTACGTTCGTACGTATATGCATTTGTCACGCTCTCTAACTAATTGAACCCCCATTGAATGCAAGAGCAAAAGCCAATTCGCTGACGTGTAGAACATCATGTCTCTGTCATAGTTTATTTCCTTTCCCCTTCCAAGGCAGTCGTTCTTCGGTCACAGACTTAATCGTATAAGCTTAATATTCAGCGAAAAGCCAAGCAGGGTGAATTAGGGTGAACCCACACGCCACCGAGCTTCTCTTGGGGCGTATCTCGCATACATATGCCCCATCCTCAGGCAGGGCTGAGACAGAGGCGAGGAAATTATGAAGGAGACTGAAACGCTGAAATCCTAATGCGCGACATAGGCATAAGCTGAAGCTACTCCTTGAGAGGCGCGCCCGGGGCTCAAGCTGGTGTCGCGGCGCAGGTATCAGTTGGCTTGGAATCATGTAATTTATTCTGACACTTTCATAAAAAGAATCCTAACTCTTGGCAACAAAGAAAGACATTATCGCCGCATAATTAATGCCACATGTTGCAACTCGGCGCGGAGTGTTGAAGGTGTGGGGAGGGAGAACGGGGGCGAAAGGGGAGCAGCCGCTGGCAGTGCACCGCGACATAAAAACGTCCAGACATCTCGATCTGAGGGCGCTGTTGCCCTCGTTGTTGGCGGCACCAAGAAAATTCATAAAGCCATTCGAGTTTTAATTGCTTTGCTAGAGCGTCGGCCCCAAGCGTCATTTCCATATTGAGCGCTTCTCATTTGAATAAATTTATAAAAATGTTAATCAGCGACGGGAAAACCAACTGGAAGCAACACAAGCCGCAAGTCCCAAAACCCAGCCCAGCCCACGCAGCTGCCCCACTCCATTCTAACATTATTTTATTCACAATTTCCATCCCGCTCACTGCTTGCCTCTCGGCTCTTGCCTCTTGCTATCTTTCCATTTTCGCTTTGTCTTCCATATTCGCCGGCAGGCGCATGCGTCGCTCTGGTGATGCGACAGAGGCCATTAAAAAATGGGCGGAGCTAAGGTCGCCATAGTCAAGGGTTCAACGCACAGACGGCGTGGTAAATTTCGGTTGTCTCGACCTCGGCGACTTGTCCGCCGAACAATGGTGAATATGGAACGTGCTGGACTACATACCTATGTATGTACATGCATACGCATACATACAATCATACTTCAATTCACACTTAGATTTTTCTGGTCGAGTTTAAAACATGTAGGTGTGTATATTCTGAGTGGCCTGCGTATGCTCTGTAAATGTATAGAGCTGACACGATATTTGTGGCAGTTGTAATAAAATAGAAAATTTGTTGGTATTTAGCAAAATTAATAATACAGCAATATTATATTATACGCATATATGTAAGTACATTCAAAAAAAGTTCAGCTGTCGTAGCCATTGTCGTTGTTGATGAAGCTCGCAAGAGTCCTATAATTAATTCATTGCAAGACATATGTTGCCATATTAAGATTGCCGTAGAAGAGCTTTCATCCATCAATCGATAAACGTAAAAGTTCAAATTGGTAAAATCAGACATCAAATTATATTTCCCATTATCTTTATTATTCAAATTAAATTTTTGAATATTTTTCTTAGTTCATAAGTAATTGATATTGACAATCGTAGTTTACTTTACTTTTTACTGGTGACCCTTAGAGTATTGTCGCCAGTAGTGTTGATAAAGCAGTGAATTTAGCGGATTGTTATCATTTCTGTTTCCAATTTTATTCGGAAAATCAGA